CAGAAGCTTAGTGGTAAAAGGGCATCAGAATCTGATTCTGGTATTCACATCATAATTAGGAAAATATTGTCCAACCCTGAAAGGAATAAAACCATCAAATTTCTTTGGGAAAGGGAGAATGCACTCATGTGCAGCTCATCAGCAAGCTCATATACTTCGCAGTTCACAATGCCAAGGCATGGAAAGTAAATGCCCTGAAGTTTGCTGCTGATAGATTATTGTGCTCCTGAAATGGTAATACAAATGCACTGAATCGTGAAATGCAGCTAATATAATTAATCTTGCAATATTGTAAATCTGTTGGAGACAGATAACATGAGAATTTTGTTCTACTGTTTCACACTGCAGCAAAACCAATAAAGTGGTGTTTAGAAGGAAGCCTGGAGCCTAAATATTTCCAGGTGAATTTGGTGATTTAAGAAAAAAAATCTGTTTACATAACCTTCCATAAAACCATACATTATGCATAACACCAGCTTGTTCCACCCTCGAACTGCCACAAGAACTGCCTGAAGAATAAAGATATACTCTATATTATGTTCATTTTTAAAAGAAAAGTTAAGCAATTGTATGAACATCTGAGGACTTGGAAGTTTGGGGTTTGGGAGCTAGACTGTTTTGGTTTCAAACCACTGCAGTTAGAACATTCATAATAGTAAGGATTCTCCTGGTAAGGATCTCAAAATCAATGACAGCTCTTTATATAAACTGGATTTAGGAATATCTCAATCTATTTCACAGTCAGTAAGTTCTTTTATTTATTGCATACCAAATTACCTCTCTGCAATAATGCTGATACCCACAAGGAGCATCCAGCTACCAACACAAACACTGGACAACTTTCACCTTCCCAGCCTTTGAGAAAACCGGCTCAGATCAGAGGCAAACCAGTATGAAGGAGCATTAATAGTGGCATCACAAAGGAAGCGAGCTTGAGAAGCCCTTTGCAAAGTGATCTTTAAGCTTAAATCAGCCACAATATGGAAACAAAAGAACTATGAAAAATGAGCGCAGGTGCTTAATTTTGAAAGACATATGTGTCTTGAATATGAGGGGATTAGGCAGGTCCATGCCAGCTATGTAGAGTTCTGGGTAGCATAGAAGGTAACCAACCTCTGGCACTGGCTTGGGGGTGCCCTGCCAGGCTTGATCTGGGGCTCTGAGTATAAGGATCTTCTCTGAACCAAGTTCTTGCCCCACTTTGGGGGGGGGGGGGGCAAGGTCTCAACCCCTAGGGGCCACTCCTGATTCCCAGTGCCTTCTTCTTTGCATTACAGAGAAGGTGAAGGTTCACTGGCATATCTGGATTTTAGCATCTAAAATACATTTGGTGTCAGTGGGGAAGATGACAAAATGGTAATTGTGCAAGCTGTATGAGGCTGGACATGACAGACTAATTAGCAGCTTTGAAATGTCTAACAGCAGGTTGACCACACTAATGTCATATAAAAATGTTGGCTGAAGCACAGAACTATTTACAAATATTTTTGCTTGAAAAGCTTAGAGTTAATTGGAGCCAGTCAGTTCTGACTGAGAACCATTCAAACAGCATGGTGCCAAGTAAGGGATTGTCACTAATTGGACTGCATGAACCAATTGGTGTCACTGATGAGCTACTACAGCACATCAGCCCCAGACGCAAAGAAACTAAGAATGTCTCCCATAAAGCATCGCTTTGCTGGACTCCATAAAATGAGAGGATAGCCTTTTTTATGGTCCATACCCACTCACAGTTTAGACTTGCAAACACATTTTTGTAAGCAGCAAAACACACTGTGTGAAATAGGAACACCGTGGCTATTGACATAACTTTCACATGACCATCACAGCAAATTCAAGGCTTTGATCCAGACTATTTCTCACTCTTACTTGAAAACTCAGGAGTGATCGTCTGCACAAGTCAGTTATTTCTGAAGTAGCATGAAACTGGATGGGCACTGTTCTCCTTTACACTGACTATATGCATTAGAAAGAGGATTGTGAGGAAAAACAAGAAAAAGGGAACAGGATTTCAGGTTGCATCCATGCAACTTCAGGTTTTGGCTCTTGTTTTAAGTCTTTCTGAGGCTGGCAAAAGCTGAGCAGACTTGTTGGGGGATGGACCACGGAATTCAGAGCACTGCCAAAATGAGCTGCATTACCAATCCCAACTTACGTTATCTTCATGCCTGCTGGAATGAATACAGCCTTTTTTAGTACCATGGTTGGTACTCACCAGCAGAGTGAAGGGGAGGTAGCTCATCTGGAAAATTCACCATGGAATCATTCTGCAAGGGAAGCAGTGTGGAATTTCCCCATTCTTTTTCTTTTTTCTTTTTTCTTTTTTTTTTAATTTAATTGGATACACTCCTGAGTACCGTTTGGAAACTATGAACGGATGCCAGAATGGACATGTCCAGATCTATGGATATAAAAGTGGTGTCAGTGAACCACTTGTAAGCAGTGTCTCCTGTACACTTAAATACTTATAAACTTCACGAAGAAAAAAATCTACTACCTTAAGGGGTAAAAAGTACTGCTTTAACATTTAATTAAATGTATGACTCTAAGCATTCAATGAGAAATGCAGAGCTAATAATAACTATAATTAATATCTCTCAACATTGACTGGCATCTTCACTCCTCCCAGAACTGAACACACCCATGGGACATTACCACAGTAAGCAAACTCTTGACCTGAGAGCCTCCCAGGGCTCCCAGGGAAAGGCAGTAGTGCCAATCTGACACTGCAAACCTGCCTTTGTTCCCTCCACTTATGCCGTCTCTTGCTGACTCCTCTATGGCAGCCTGATGGTCAAGTCTAGCTCTTCAACTGACTTCTGTATTTCTCTCTTCATTTTCAATTATATCTCTGCCTGGGAGTAAACCATGGAAATTAAGAAACTTGAATCCGTGGAAGCATTCAGATCTAACTTTGCTCCATCTCCTGTCTTCTGACAATGTTACCTTTCCAATGACCTGGAACCCAGTTTCCAGACCCCTTTTCTCTGTAACTGGACTCTAGCAGCCACTCTGTCTTCTATCACTTCGCCTTGCTCTGTGACATATAGAACTACTCACAAATGCAGTTTTCCCCATAAGAGTCTCTTACAGGTGGTCCTCCAAAGGTAGCTCTTGCTTGCAATGTTACTGGATCCCCAAAGAAAGGATTTCCATGACCTTTCTAGCTATTGTCGTACTGCCAAGCTGCCTTCCTCTCAGGTGCTGAACTCCCCTTGTAAACTCCCACAGTAGTACCAGCAGAGCATTTGATCTCCATTGCCCTTGAAGGACCAGACCACACTTGAAAGAAGCCTTTGTAGCTAAATCAGATTAAAGTTCATATAGGGAAAAAAGTGACAAGTCTCTTTCTCCTGTGATCACTGATGTCATCTTTTATTCTGGCCACATCCTGAGCTTTTGGAGCATGAACAGACACCAGCAGATATGTTATCAGTGTCATTAGGCCTAGCAAAACCAAAAGCATCACAGCATGTTTTGTTGTTCATCTTGTTTGTATCATATGCAAAGCACACTTCCTGTTGTCATTTGGCAATCCGATACCTTTAAAGAAGAAAATCAAGTCTGAAGAGTGAAAATTCAAGGACAAGCATTTTGTTGAGCAGTTGCCTTTTGATCTGAGATGCTGGTACTTACAGAAACAGCATTAATCAGAATTGTTTAGGGAAATAAAACCCAAACTCCTCTTTCAAGCCCCAGTTTGGCTTGTCTTTATTCATGCAGAGCTGCACTGGCAAAACCCAAACTCCTCTTTCAAGCCCCATTTTGGCTTGTCTTTATTCATGCAGAGCTGCACTGTGCTCTGTAATCAGTCCCACAACACCACATTATGCTCCTCTATTTCCTGCAGTGCTCATGGCAGCATCGCAGGACACGGTTGCAAGTCAGAGCAATCAGGGGGATATAATTCACCACCCAGCTTTTTATGTGGCCATATGTCAGCCAAACTTGAGAAAGGCTAGTGTACAGTGAGTCTGGAGTGGGTCAATCTCCCCCTCAGCACCTCTGCATCCTCAGGGGTCAATTCTCACCACTGTGCCTGGGCTGCTGTTGGAATGCTATGTCCTAATTAACTTCAGCAAGAGGATCCAATGCATAGGATGCTTTTACTAACAACTGCCAAAAAGTGTATGAGAAGCTCTCCACTTTCACCTTGTCTGCATTGCTGTAAAACGATGACAAATATTCCCAGCTGATGCTGAAGCATTTTGAGCCTTTCTCGAACAGCAGCTGACATGCAGTTCACCACAGAAAGAGTTGAATCATAGAATAGTTACGGTTGGAAAGGACCCTAAGATCAAATACTCAACAGCTCACCTTTGCTTTTCATCTGAACAGTCTCCACGGAAGTGATTGCAGTGTCAGTGCTTTCTGTGGTTCACAGATCTTGGATGCTGGCTATTGCGAGCAACAAACATTTGTTTTTTAACTTCCTTTCTCTAACTACAACTAATCCGTGATACAGAGGTGCTTCCTCAGATACAAACACTGAGAAAGCAGGATTCCTGCAAGAGAAATTAAAGCTGCCTGCTTTTTGTATTCACCTTGCATTTAGGACTTCAAAGTTCATGCAGCTAAAACAAGGGAAGCTACTAAAATACCATGACTCCAGGTCACTCCCTTTCTTTTGTGACAAGAAACCAACCTGAAGGCCCTCATGTGAGCTGCAATTCAGCAGCAGGGCTGCAAAACAGTTTTGCAGAAAAAGTGCCTGTTCATTTTGCTAAGAATTGTTGGAACAATTTCTTCTTCTGTTATGAAAGCTGACAGGGATCTTCTTTTAAGCTGTCACTCAGTCAAAAACTGTAGCTGCAAGATGTGGTTATTTATCTTCATTGGAAAGTTGAGAATTCTGAGGGAGAAAGATCCCCAAAAGCATCCCCAGCAGCAGAGTCTGTAGATGAATTTTCAGTTCATGACAGCAGGAATTGCTTCACCAGGAGCTTATTGAGAGGAGAGGGGGGGGAAAAAAAGGGGGTGGGGGGGAGGTGGAAACAAAAACTAAAAAGCAATCCTCATTATGAATCTGGTCCAGAGAGGGAGCAATCATGCTGAAAGCAGAAGCTGCAATTTAATATATGCGGAAGATGGGACTTTATTCTGCACTCAGAAAAGAGAATGTGCTGCTAATGAAAGTATATTTAAAAAACAGCTAAAAAGGGTAATACAAAGGGACCCTTTTTACATATGTGTAGAATGTGTCTTATACCTATTGAAGCTCCCTGTTCAGAGAGAAGCAGCAGTCCTCTCCTTCATTTTCTGCTCTGACCTGCCGGTGCTTCAGAATGGTCCATTCTTTTGGCACTCTAATGACAGAGAAAAAGTTAGCAGTGAAAAGCCAGCCTGGTTAATGAAGGCAGTGATTTCCCATTTTTGGAACAGCTGCTTGTTGGGCGATGCCCAGGAAGCTAAGCATGCAGCATACTTCACAACTGTTTCAGTCCAACCCCAATCTTGTATTTAGATCTGGAACTTCTGAGGAAAACTGATGGCTTAACAATGGGATCATTTGCACTGCAGGGTACCATGCCTGCCTTTGCCCTGTGGGGATCTGAAGCACTTCAACACATCCTCAGAGCCAATAACTACAGCCATGGCATAGAGGCCATCGGTCCTGAAGCTTCAGCACTAAGAAAGCAAGATGCAATAATGGCTGCTTTGTCAAAAATCTGTGAACATGCCCTGACACTGCAGGACAGCCCTCCCAAGTACACTGATACTCCTTCCCTAGGATACACTGCATGTGGAAAAGCCAGGAAGTTACGCATGCCTGGAGGATACCCAGAACCTTTAGGGGCTAAGCAACATACCCAAGGGCAGCTCAAATGGAACCAGGCACTTGAAATATACCTTTCTGATGGGAACTGGTACAAATTAAACAGTAACAATCAACACTTGCACTTTCAATGATCAATACACTCGTGCAATGTGTCATGTTCAGATGGTACAGTAAGAGATTCACACATTTCCAAAATAATTGTTATGTTTATTACTTATTAGCTGCAAGGTAGGTGAGAGCTGAGGAGCTGCTAAGATTTCAAAGTCTGGATCCAGAAAGATATGTTCAGGCCCTGATTTTCATCCATGGTAATGGCTGCCTTGATCATCACGATACTAAATGTGACCCTGGTGACTCAAGGTGCGGAAGGAAGTGTATCCTGGTCACATCACTTCAGCTATACCATAGGATATCATATATATACCATAGGCAGTTGGTGTTACCATGACACACTTACAGACCATCTGGGCTGGATAACATGACTCCAAAAAGCTATGTTATCTGTGCTCATACCAAAATTCAACACATGCTTTTGAAATGTTATGATCTAGACTGAATATACCAATGGTTTGGAGAGAGAAGCAGCTAACACCTCTTAGGAGAACGATGATCAAAAAGTAGGTAAAAAGCACAGAAACTAGGATCACAGGGTTACAGAAAAAAACAGTACTAGGGTGGGAATTGGATTTTGACATTCTGTTTACAAATGGATCAAGAATGAATTCATAATTTTTGAAAGCTGTGGAATAATTTCACTTGAGGATTAATCAAACCATTCATACTGAGCCAATAAATATTTCATTTTAGTATTGATAATTTAAAAGAAAATACGAAAATAAACAAGCTCCGTACCAAAATTTCTGAATATTTCATGTAAAAATGTTGGCGAAAAGCTACTAATTTAAATGGATTTCAGGATTCTTGTGCTTTCCTCCAATCATAAACAGCTGTGGGAAAGCAACATAAGTATGTTCATTCTGCTTATGCCATAAAATCTGCATTCTCTACTTTGTTCCTAAATTCTAAGTGTAAAAAAGAAGTTTCATTTTATAGGTGCACCTTAGAAAAGAAAGACTTCTGCCTTTTGAAGGCCAGAATTGCATGTTAAGATATACACACAAACAGCTTCAGCTGCTTGTTTGGCTTTGTGTTTGCTGGCAATGCTTTTGTTGCTATAGATTATTTTAAAAAAGATATATAAAAATCTTCCAATTGAAGATTAGTTAGATTCAAATTGTGTCAGAAGAGGAGGAATTTCAGCTGGGAGAGAACACAAGGAAGAAAATTATTATAATTTGAAACAGAAGAAAGAATGGAACAGCGAGGCTTTCAACTTAAGAGAAAAGTCTGCCTACTGCAAGCAAATCTTTTCAGAAATAATTGCCTATGATTAGTGTTTTAAAATCTGCAAAATCGCTGTCTTGCTATTGAGCAGAGACAATGCTGAGTTGAAACAGCAATGGAAGAAAAGGGAAGAAAAGCATTTGCATTATTTCTATACTTACACCTGGACACATTGAAGCTGTGCTTGTCTCCTGGACAGTGCTGTCAGCTGAAGGGCTTTGTCCACTGCAGAGGTGTCTATTGGTCCAACAGATCACTGAAGAGAGTTTGGAGCTGCTGGACAGCTTTTCTGGTATGGAATCTGTTGGTGGTTGTGTGCATCTCCTCTTCACCTGCCTCATTGAGCCATAGGTGTTAATTGCAGTGGCAGCATTCAGAGAGCCCAACCACACTTTCATTACTGACTTGTCTGCAGGGAGAGTGCACATGGGGAACAGAAAACAGGGTTGTACCAGGGGTGTCGCAACCCAGTAACCTGCCTTTGACATTGGGATGTGGCAGATATTTGGGGAACTGGTCTGTCAAACAACTTAGAAGGTGTCATTTCCAGAGAACCTCTTTCAGTTTCAGGAAACCCAGAGTTTTTGAGATTTTCTGAGCAGGAATTTGCCTCAAGACTCTGATGAATTAATGATGAGCTGATCTTTATCATACTCTAGAAATAATCCTTCTGTGGATCTTCCCACTGCTAAAACAAACCCTACACTTTGTCACATTTTCCACCATCATTTCAGCACTGCCTTCACCTGGCATCCACCACAGACCAACATCACAGCCTTCTCCAGGTGAGTTTTTCAGATGTATCGCCATGGCTTAAACTGATGGGTTTAAGCTGTCCCACTCTTTTCCATTCAGTGATATCCATTCACTATCAAATTAATATGTCTGAAAAAAATGACAGACTACTGGAATCCTGCAGACTTCTTTAGTGGCATTTGAATGCCATGAATTTTGATTGCACAATCTGAAATTGAACCTACCCAAGCTACCTCACGAAGAAAAAGTAGCCTGATTCCATATGTCTGAATGCATATACCACAGAGGGCAGTGTCTCCTCAACCTAACTGATGCAAGAATTACTTTGCAAAAGCCCTGAGCAGTTCTTTGTTATTATTCTGACACAGAAGAAACTATGTATAATATGGTAAGGGATCAAGAGACAAAATAAGCTAAATCCAGCCTGTTGATTTCATAAATTCATCCAAACATCAAGGCAGTGAAAGAGAGAATGTGACAGCTATAACAGCTACAGTATAGCTGTGCCTGTGTAATCCACTTCCATCAAACTAGTTATTGAACAAACAGCCAGAAACATGTAACAAGATTTTGACAAGTTAGCAAGTACTTCTACTTTTGAAAGTTAATAAATAGTTTATGGTGTCCCAAACACATCCAAAAATTGTAGTTAGCAGTGGAAATTTTATGCTTTCATGTATCTCTAACAAACATGAATGTAAGAGTGCAAAATTGCATGTTTTATTTATGCTTCTACATATAACTATGGGATCCTTAGTAATCCCATAGTTATATATCTTAAGTAATCTATAGTTATATATCTTTTCCTAGTACCTATGGAGTGCTGTCCATTTGATTAGCTGAGATTTACTCACCTCACTCGTGTGTTTCATTGTTATTCTTAGTTCAGGATAAAAGCTGGAATAGTTAATTCCACCAAAGGAGTGCCAGAATTTATCTTACCATGACAACACTTGTTTTTATCCAAACAGCTCCTGAAAGGGAAAACTGTTTTGTTTACAAAGGCAAACCTTGCACAGTACGTGTTTATTCAGGAGTCACGCAGTGAGCAATGGAGCCCTATTTCCACGGTTTTCACAGCTAATGAAGAAAATAGCAATTGGCTTAGGTGGGAGGTTTTGGTAGTAGAGGGGGAGTACAGGAGTGACTTCTGTGAGAAGCTGCTAGAAGCTTCCCTATGTCCAACAAGGCCAATGCCAGCTCCAAGATGAACCTGCCATTGGCCAAGGCTGAGCTTATCAGCAACAGTGGCAGCAACTCTGGAATAACATATTTAAAAAGTAGCTGAAGTTACTGCACAGGAGCAATTGCAGACAGAGAGAGGAGTGAGAATATGTGAGATAAACAGCTCTACAGACACCAAGTCAGTGCAGAAGGAGGGGGGAGATGCTCCAGGCACCAGAGCAGAGGTCTCCCTGCAGCCATGGTGAGGCAGCTGTGCCCCTGCAGCCCTTGGAGGTCTATGGTGGAGCAGATATCCACCTGTAGCCCAGGGAGAGCCACATGCTGGAGCAGGAGGATGCCTGAGGGAAGCTGTGAACCTGTTTGAAGCCCATGTTCGAACAGGTTTGCTGGCTGTACTTCTGACCCCACAGGGACCCATGCTGGAGCAGTCTGCTCCTGAAGGGCTGCACCCAATGGAAGTGATCCACACTGGATCAGTTCATGATGAACTGCAGCCTGTGGGAAGGACTCACTTTGGAGAATTTCATTGAGGACAGCCTGCTGTGGGAGAGACCCCATGCTGAAGCAGGGGAAGAGTGTGAGAAGTCCTTCCCAGGAGGAGGAGGTAGTAGCAGAGTCAACGTGTAACAGTCTCTATGCCCCATTCTCTGTCCCCTTGCTGCTGAAGGGGAAGAGGCAGAGAATCTGGGAGTGAAGTTAAGCCTGGTAAAAAGGGAGCGATGGGGATAAGGTGTTCTTCAGATTTGGTTTCATTTCTCATCCTGATCTTATTTGATTGGTAATAAATTAAACTAATTTCCTCAGGTTGAGTCTATTTTGACTGTGATGGCAATTAATGACTGATCTCTTCCTATCCATACCTCAACCCAGGAGTCTTCCATTACACTTTCTCTCCTCTGTCCAGATGAGGAGGAGAGCAATAGGCCAGCTTCGGTGGTCACCTTGCATGCATCCAGGTTCAACCCACCACAGTATGCCTGCCTAGAAGCAGATCTGCTCAGCAAAACAGCTGAGAAGTTACATTTCCAAGTCCTGAAGTGCTGAGTTGCCCTCCCAGTTTAAGTACACAGATCGTCAAACGGGGGTCAGCAGGGCTGAGACACTTTTATCTCCCTCCCAGACTGCAGGCAGGGCTGCAGGCAGGTAGCAAAAGCATGAAAATTGAGAAACAGGTTCCCCAGCATCTTTCACAAAAGCAGTTTAAGGGATTGTAACTTTCCTCTCCCAAGATAAACACTGGTTTTCATAGCCTGATCTTGAGATACAAGGCATTTTTGAAGTAATAGGCAGCAATCAGGCAGGAAAACACTGTTTCAGGGAGCTTTAAGTCTAAGAGACTATATCCCTCAGCTGAGAACAGTGAGCAGGTGTCCAGCCCATCTAAGCAAGGGATGTGTTGGGATGGGGTATACTGTACCACCCCATCTCCATGGACACCGGTACTTAAACTGCACCTCTCAGAGCCAAAGAAAGGAGCCCTTACACCCTTAAAAAGAAACCCTCAGTTTGATCCCTACTGTTTTCCAGTGCTCAGGATACTGGAGGGAAATGTGCAACCTGCAATAAAAATAAAACAAGAAGTGGTGTCTTCTTTGCAGTAAGAGGCATGAAGATCGTTAAAAGCAGGCGTGGGTGGTGAGACTCTCTTCTTTCCCGCAGCCATATCATGATTCTTTCACAGGTAATACTGAAAGCTGTTAAAAAAATAACAAAGAAAAAAACCAGCAGAACAAGACGGGAATATCTTCTTTATAATCTTCTCAGAGACAAGGATTTCCTTGCAAACCGGGTGGTTTTGGTTCTGCCTTTCAGCTATTTGCAAAACCCATTTTATCATCGTTGGATGGTATCTGCACATACCGTGTCAGAGGTTGGGATTTTTAAGGGTGTGCAGTCATCTGTTTTCCCAATATTGCTCTTGTAGCAGAGACAATTTGAGAGGAAGACCATTTATTAGAAAGAAATCGAAATGGCGTATCAAAAGGTTTTCTTGAAAAAGGAAGAGATTTGGAAGCTTAGGAAGGATTTGTAGTTGGAGGGGGAAAAAAAAACCTTGCCATGAGTGGAAAGGCCCCTGCAGGTTTCACCAGAGCAAAGCAATAGGAAGAAATGAGACCTCACAAGCTCTCATCAATAGTGTCTTCTCCCTTGCCTGGATACTTTCCCTGTGCTTTGGTTGGGAATCAAATAAGAGATGTTTATTCAACAAATCCATAGAGGACAACAAATATTTAAAACTTTCCCCCTCATTGTCCCCTTCTTCAGTGTCATTTTAACCAAGGTGGACTTACTGTTTTCACATTGCCTGTCCTTTGAAGCATGGCCATCAACAGCATGGGCCCAAGGGACTTGTGAAGGCCAGAGGAGAGGTGTCAGGTTTGTTGTGAGCCATGAAGGCTGTATTCTACTTTGAGTTCATAATCAAGCAAATCCAACAGCAAGGGGAAAACAGGACCCACTATACTGGACCATCCTTGGTCTGGCAGAGCCTCTTGGCAGTCCTGAGGCTCTTGGGCAGCTCCTGCCCTGTGCAAGTTCCACCAGTTTACCAACACCAAGAAGGGCACGGCTTGTTTTGTATACTGTCAGGTGTCATGGGTTGTTGGCCGCAGCTACACTAACAAATCTAGAGATTATTCCTTCCTAGGTCTCATGAAAGGCTGTGCTTGAGTCATGCTTCAGCCCTGAGGTCATGGGACAGCAATGCATCTGCTTAATTGGAAGGGGAGCGGAAATTCCAGTGGAAAAACAGTTCCCTCGAATGTAATCCTTACATCTCTAAACATAGAAAGCATCAGAAAAACATCTAGAATTTATTATATTTAAAACTCATGCATTTAAGTTATAGCTGATGATTTTTATGGGACCTGACATTATTTTTTTAATATCTTGCATGAGTGGTGTCATAAAACCCGCTTTCATAAAAAGAACTTGAAAAATATCAGAAGCACAAAGACAAGTCACGTCTGAAATTGAACCAAGAAATTTGTCTTCATCAGGCTTGCAGTATTTTAGATCCACAGCATTTCTGAATGGCTGAAAAGAACTGAATGGCTGTAGATAAATTACCCTGAAAGCACTCTAAAATGTCAACACCCACCACTGAAGAAACTAAATTCAATCTAATAACATCATCTGAACTAGCAATGCAGGTTAATGACCTTCTACTTCACCGTCTAATGGGGCACACAGCTTACAAGAATAAATGGATTGTAGAACATAACTACATATACTGGAATTTGATAAATAAATTAGTATAACACTAATTTGGGCTAAATTACCATGTTTTAAAGTCATCTAGCAATTAAACTTTCTAGTGGCACAGTGCCTAGTTCTTTTATGCTG